TTAAGGGTTTGTGTAAAAAAAAAAAAAAAAAAAAAAGTACTTTCAAAAATACAGCTACTCTGGGGAATATTCACTAGCAAAAAGTGTCAAAACTACTCCCTTACTTCTAACTTGATTATAACAAGAATTCATCAATCAGCATGCAACTAAACATTTGAGTTCATGGATTTATTTCATCTTAAACGATGAAACACAGTTGAATAAAACTTTTGTAACCACTTTTGTTCAAGGCAAAGTTGTTAATATCACTTCTAAACAAGCACAGGTCTATAACAATGGTAAATTACATCCACTCTTCTGCTAAATCTACACATCCCAGAAACAGCAGCTGCTTCCTTACAGTATCATCAAGTTCTAAAGATAAGAATATGATTTCAAAGCTGGCTGTGTGCAGGAGTCTGTAATAATAATTGCTTTTCTCACTCACTCTCTCTCTCACTCACTCTCTCTCTCCTACTCCACCCCAGAGAGCAGGTTAAAAGGACGTGTCCAACACTGTTAAACTTACTTTATATGCACAAACTTTCTTTATTTTGAGATGATCCCAACACTAAAATCCATATGGAACTTGAAGAATGGGATAGTTCTTTTCTTCACTCCTTTGATTTTTCTTCCACTCCCAGTGGTCATCAACACAAGGGTATGTATCAAACTAAATTTCCACAACTTTTTAATTCAGTGCTTGAATTAAATGACTTCTTACACTTGTCTAATTACTTCTATTATAGATTTTGTATGCTTTTGTCTGAGGTTATTGATTGTTTTTATGCACCTGTCAAACACTGCATATACAAATGCTGTTTAATACAAATTCTGTTTAATACATGGAGACTACATTAATACCCTGAGGCCTCCATGTACAATAATTCATTGTGCCTCAAATTTGTTTTTTTTTAACCCTTTGTCATTGTGTATGTTTAAGCGTGGGAACACACAAGTCTAAATTCCTGACTCAGAGTCAATGTGTGGTCATGACCCTCATGTGCATATTTGAGACAGTGCTCATATTAACTGCTCCCATTGACAGTTAGATCAAAAATCACTTCTCGAAAAAAATCCTTATTGCCAGGCCTATACTCTCAAAAATAGTTACGTTTTTTGCAGTGATACCATAGAATAATCACTTTTGGTTCCCCAAAGGACCTTTCAGTGAATTATGATTAGTGTAAAGAACATTTTAAAAATCTAAAGAACCTTTTTCCTCTATAAAGAGACTTTTGTCCAATGGAAAGGTTCTGGGAATGTTAAAGGTTGTTCCTGGAACAATTGATGCCAATAAAGAACCTTTATTTTTAAGAGTGTTAAGCAAAGATCATGTTTAACATATTAAACAGGGATCTAAAACTACAATGGGGTCAAAAAAGACAAAATAATAAACATAAAACAAAGAGCACTTCACTAAAATCAGTAAATTTGCCTTTGCAACTTCAGTAAATTTGTGATACTGATTATGAGAACTACTTTGTACAAATAATCAAAAACAGATGTCCTTGCGTTCATTGAATCACAAGATACACTTTAGATAAATGTAAAATCATGCTGGATAACATGAGCACCATCGTCGTTAAAATACTAGGACACTCTGTAATTTATTTTATTAATAAAAAAGACAATAACTTAAATAAAATACAGTATTTGGAAGGGGAAAAAAAACTTTGCCTCATGGTTTGTGTTTGCATTCCCCAACATGATCATGCTAATGATAGCTTTGCTCTAAGTATGAGCCAGATAGACAATTCATTTGGTACATTTCATCTTTGCTTTTTCCATTTTCCAAGCAAAAGATCATATCAAATACTAAAACATTCTGGAAAAAATAAAAAATAAAATGATATGCATCACAAAATGGTTGCAAATAAGGATGAGGCGGTATCTAAGCACTTTAGATTTACACAAACTCAAAACTGGAAACAGGAACTGAACACAACAACCATGTTAAACGCAATGATAACTGACAAAGAACAGAAGAAAACACAGGGCTTAAATACACTAAAACAAAGCAATGAACTAAATGAAGGTGCAAACACCAACAAAACCATGAGTAATCATTGAAACTAATGAAAAACGACAAAGGAAACTGAAACCAACACAAAACACAGATGACCCGTAACAGTATCCACCCCCACCCCCACAAGGAGACACATCCTCGTGCCTCAAACAAAAGGTTCAACAGAGAAGGGCGGAGGGGGGGGGGGTTGCAGTGTGGAGACGAAGGAAGAAGCAGCCAGGGTGGAGACTGAAGCAGTCAGAGCCAGGGCGGAGTTAAAGGTGGAAAAAGCCAGAATGAAACCCACAGCATAAGGACTAGGACCTTGTTTTTAACCCAAGGGCTGGGTAAATATAGGACAGAACACATATGGGGTTAATTTTACCCAGCAAATTGGGTTGTTTATTTAACCCATCATAATGGGTTGATTTAACCCAGCTAATGGGTTGATTCATTTTTATTATAATATAGCTTATTTTTTACTTTATACATGAAATAATGTTTACAGATTAACTTAAATCCACTAAACTTTTGTAAAATACTCCACACAACCACTGGTTTGCATGATAACTTCCTTTATTTATCATTTACAGCATTGTTTATCGTTTGTATGTATACATATTGCCCATTTAAACTCGTTTAACAAACATTAAAAGTAAATATTAAACAGAAGTAATTCACGTGTAAACGACCAGTCTGTTATTCTGTTTCCACCGTAACGGCGCTGGCTCTCGTGCCCGAGCTGGAGTC